GTGAAGGGAGGGCTAGGAATGGGGAAAAAATAAGAACCAAGATGCATTATGTAAAGGTACAGTTCCCAATGAGAAATGTAATTGTGTTGCATACCTACAATGTACCAATAAAAGAATTTAATAAAATAAATGAAAACAATAATATCCCATGTTACTGCTTGCATGAAATGAAAAAATTTTTGCCCTGTCTACCTGCATGAGGAGTCTTCTAGCTCATAATGAGCCTCTTCTTGAAAATATTTAAATTTTTAAAAAAATTTCATACATGCATATATTTTGGTCACATCCATCCCCCTCACAATGACCCCTCTTAAGAGTCCCGCATCTTCCCAAGATGGGCCTCAGCAACCATGTTTTTATCCCCTGACTCTGACTCCTTGGCCACAGCTATTGGACCAGGAGTGAATAACTGCCTCAGGCAAGGATAATCAAGATTTTTCTCTTGGGATTTCAGAAGGGATACCAGGAGAGTCAGGTCCAGTCTGACTGGCTGGTTTGTTGTTTTTTGTTTGTTTGTTTTTGGTTTTTTTTTTTGAAAGGAAGAAGTGAAAAGTCCTAGGAATGGCCATCTTTTTTAGCTTTGTGTTACTACAACAAAACACCTTAGGCAAACTATGAAGTAGAGAGAAGTTGCCTTAGCTCATAGTTTTGCAAGTTCAAGGGCTTGGCACTGGCATTGGCATAGTTCTCAGCTGGATCACATCATTGTAGATAGCAATGGCAGTAGCATGTGCAGGAGCAAGAGATTACACCTCAAACCAGGAACAGAGAGGACTGTGTGGGGCCAGGATTTTATAACAACTCTCTCTCACACTCCCTTGTAGCGATACTAAGATTCACCACATTCCAACAATGCCACCATGGGGATCAAGCCTTTAAGCACAATGGACATTTGAACACACAAACCATATCAGACTACAGGCACCATCTCTGCTAGAGGAAGCTGGGTTGAGAAGAACAGAGCACCTTGCTCAGAGAGGCAAAATGAAAGCTCATTGGGCTAGAGTGCCAGCTCCTGAGCCTAGCCCAACCTCAGGCTAGGCTATATTCTTATTCTTCAATTTCAGGAGGATACCCCTGTATTTTTATCAAAAATTCCCCAAGTTTGCTTAACTTAGTCTCCATTTTCTTTTTCTTTGTTTTTTCCTTTTTTGCAGAGACTTCCATATTTTTATTAGTTATAGCCTCAGTGACTAAGATTTGGGAGCAGTAAGTGTGGTGGTCTCAAGATTTATATCCCAGATTTTCACATTTAGATACCCAGTCTCCAGTGTTTTCATAACCAAGTCTCTGTTTTCATAACTAAGCAGTTCTAATATCTTTGCTCACAAAGCTTTTGTGAAAAACAAATAGACTAATTTTATATGAGGCATTTGAAAACTCCTTTAGAAAAAAAGATCCCCTGGCTTTACATGTAGTATAGGATCTCAGGGTCTGACTGGGATAAGTTTTTATCCCAAATTTCAAACACTTCTGCTGATTTCAATCTCACACTCACCTCACATTCAGAAGTACATCCTGTCATTTGCAACAGCATGAATGAACCTCGAGGAAATATCTAGAAATTCCTGAGTGACATAAGCTGGACACAAATAAAAATGCTGCATGATCTCACTTGTATGTGGACTCTGTAAAAAGTTGAATAAATAAAAACCAAGAGTTGAATGTTATGGGGTGGAAAATAGGGAGATATACATCAAAGGGTACTAAGTTGCAGTCATATAGCATAAGCCTGCAGATCTAATGTACAGCATGAGGACTATAATAAATAGTACTGTACCACATACCAGAAATTTGCCAAGCCAGTAGATTTAAGGTATTCTTAACACATACACAAAATGCACACACTTACATACATACACAATTACGTGTGGTGATAACCATGTTAATTTGCTATAGTCATTATTTCTCTGCAAAAACATATCAAAAGGTCATGTTGTATTCCTTAAATATACATTTAAAAATAAATACATAAAATAAAAGTATATGTTGCATCCAGTTCCTGGGCTTCCAGGATCTGTGGCACAAAGTAACTTGAATTTTGTATGCTTACAGTGAAGGTGGCTTGTATAACAAATAAATGCCCAGTTTTTAATGACTTAAGTCAATATCTGCCTCATGTGAAAGTCCAGTAATGTTGGCAAGGAAGCTCTGCTCAACCCTGTTATCTGGGTAGCCAGCTTTGTTCTTTCTAGTGTCTCAGAGTCCTTCTTGGATTCTCTGCACTCAGCCCACAGATAAAGGTAGAACAAGTGAGTACACACAGGTCTCCGAGGAGGTTCCTGAGGGGACAGGCATGAAAGTGGCTCCCTCATTTCTGCCACCTTCCACCATTCAGACTTAGTCACATGGCCCACCTATCTGAGAGAGGCTAGGCAGTCTCCCCTACATATCTAAATGGGAAAAGGGCTTTAGTGAACACAAAGTTGCCCTTGACTCCATTTTCCAATCCCATTTTCTTGTTTTCAGCTGTCTCTGCCAAGCCATCATTTAACCAGTGACACAGAGACTAGAAAACAACAGCCTGAGGGGAAAATATAGCCTATGGCCTATTTTTGTAAATGAAGTTTTATTGAGACACAGCTACACTCACTTGCCATACTTACTGCCTATGGCTTCTTTCGTGCTATCATAACAAATTTGAAGTTTTGACAGAGATAATGTAACCCACAAACCCTAAACTATTTACCATATGTAACCTGCAGGAAAAAAAATGCCAGTTCTAGCACAAATACATCAGCTTTCTAAATTCCCATAGTGTGTGATCCCTCTTTACTGTGCCTTTTCTTCTCCAGTTTTCTTTTCTGTGTGGTCACCATGCTGCTCTGGATAAGCCACTCAGTGACAAAACCTTTAGAGAAAGGTTCCAGTCTGCCAAGGAGGAACTGGGACACTTACAGATTCCAGAGGTTCATTTGGAGCTTTTGGTCATTTTTGTAACACTGCTGAAATTTGTCATGTTCTAAGGTTTAAGGATATTCTTTTTGAATTTAATTCCTTTCTCTTATTCAACCTCCAGATGAAGTTTTTCAGTTCATCTGGACATGCTATATATGTTTTCAACCTACGGAACAAAGAGAAAACAATATAAATGTGAACAACTAAAGGATTTAAAATGGGGTTATGTGAAGAGCAAAACTCAGGAGCAGAGATGAGAAACATTGTGACAACTCTCTCAACCTAAAACCCAACTCTACCCTCCAATAGTTATTATTGTTACTGGAGAAATATAAAGGTTAACTTCAAAATACAATGTACACAAATTACATAAATTGTACATAAAATACATAAATTGTGTTATCTTTGGAAATTCAGAGGTTATATGTAACATTTTTTAAAACAATTACCATATGTTGGTTGCTTCATTGTTCTCTTCTATTATATATCTTGTAAAATACTATAGCAGTTGGCTATATGATCAAGACTTCCTAAATTCTTAGAGAAGAGGAAGGAAGGGAGGGAAGGAGGAAGAGTTTAAGACTTCAAGAACCTACATCACCTCTCAGACGGCCTCTTCTCATCTGGGGTTCCTGTGAGTCACAACACTACCATCCAACTTCCGGTGGCTCTGCCAAGCCCTTCTGTGGTGTATTTAAGCACATAGGTTTGGTTTCTAGAAGAACTGACTCTTCCCAGCCCCTCCCAGAGCTTAGAAACTGAGTTTCCAACCTTCGGATTCACAGGCTTTGGCCAGAAACCAGCCAGTTGGCAGATATGCCTGAAAAGAGCAGGCACCTCTGGCGGGGCACTTGCTATCGCACCCACGCAGTTGGAGGTGGTGAGATGAAGTGCACGCTGCCCTCCCAACCCACAGGGGGACGCTGGGGTTAGGGCTGGAACATTTGTGGGCCCCCATTCTGGGCCCCACCTGAAAGGGCAGTTCTAGTCTGTGAAGCATGTGAAGATGTTTTGCTTCAGCCTTCTCAAGTCTTTTTTTTTTCATTAACCTCGCTTTTCTGTGGATCCTTGAAGTCTCTTGAAGACCTACTAAAACAGGGAAAGCTCCCGCGCTATACCCGCGCTTTAAAGAGTCTTGCTAAAATGTAAGCCCTTGAAGACAGGGTACTTTCTCTTCTCCACAGACAGGTGCTAACTCAGTTGTCAGCACCTACAGGGCATTCAATAAATACTGAACAAATGTTTCTTGGATAGATTGTTTACCTCTATGCACTTGGGCATGCTTCTTTACCTATGAGTGTTCTTATAGAATATTCCTTTTAAAATTATTACTTCTTAGACAAAAAAATTCTTATTTAGGTAAGATTTGTGCACAGAGAAATGAACAGATATTCCTTAGCACATTGTGATGAACTCTGACAAATGTAAAACCTGTGCAGTCAATATTCCAGTCAAGATTTATAGCATTTCCATTACCCCAAGAAGGAAACCAGTGATCGTTAGTAGTCAACTTGGGGTTCTGAATGACTTTATTTATTCCTCTCCAGGGTTCTTACTTCATTTTATCCTATTATAAGGACTCATGTCAAGCTTTGTCTACCAAAGTATAAGCTCAGTGAGGTTGGAGATGCCATGGCCTGTTATGGCCCTTTTAGAGCCATACAACCAATAAATTTTGAAGTGTGAACACCTGAACATTACATTCAAAGATGACCAAGGGAATATGACCTGTTTTTAGTGCAATACTGGACACAGACACACAGAGAAGAATTCCTAAGTGGAAGAGAAGGATCAGCTTCTCAAGCTGTAAAAGGGACAGGACAGGGATAAGAAGAGCCAGACAATGGGGACGCAGAGACATCATGTTTTGCTTCAGGTAAAATTTACTATTCTCATGAAAAGAATTCCTTTCCCACTCACTCAATGAATGATTAACATGCTTCATCTCCACACCAAACCCACACTCCATGTTTGAGAATTACCATAGTGCCTTGCATCCAGTAGATGTTCAACAAATGATACTTGGATAGAATTTATTGGACAGCTATGTGCACAGTTTAGCACATACCTGGCATCTACAGTTGACCTCCATGGATCCAACCAACAGAAGATCAAAAGTGTTGAGGGGAAAAAGTACACTTGCACTGAACATGCAGACTTTTTTCTTGTCATTATACCCTAAACAAAATAGTGTAACCCTGCAGATACCAAGGAATGACCATACCAAGTATTCGATGAAGGTCAGGTATCATTATTGATGACTCCTGGAGTAGAGCAAGACTTACAGGAACGCAACCAGCTGCAGGAGCTTAGCAAGAATATCTGATCCATTCTGGGGCTAAGCTACAATATCAGGAAGTTTTGGCCTCCACAAGTCATACATTGTCCCAGCAGACAGGGAGCCTTGGGAATCTGATAGGAGGCAGAAGAACATTCCAAGAAGGGACAAAGAACTGGAATTCAAGGGCTATAGGGATTGAAATACAGCGTAGGAGAAATCTTTAAAACAGGATGGGAAGAAAAATTGGGTGACTTCTCTCTGAAATTTAAAGGCAGAAATTCTGCCTTTAAATCTCATGCATCCAAGTCCTTTTCTCTCTTTAAATCAGATTTCTATTGCACACCAGGTAAGTGCTCAATAGTGGGTACAGAAATGCATCACCCATTTGCCTTAAGGAAAATATTGTAGCAATTAAGAATAATGAAAATATAAATGGAAGGAAAAAGAATTTGTGAAACAAGACCATGTTAGTAGTCTCTGCTAAAATGTGGTTCCTGACTCTATAAATTGATTTTAATTAAAATATAATTGCAAGGTGATCAGGACTGTGAGAATGAGAGCTGGGATCTGCAAACCTGAGCCAGTGCTGGATCCCTAGATGAGAGTGACACAGGGAGGGTGAGAAACTGGTTCCAAGTCTTTTTCGGTTTTTTTCTTCTCAGGCCACTTTCCAGATATCCTGATTAATGGTTAGCCATCCCCAAGGCTCCTATTAGAAGGACTCTCTCTAGGGAAAACCCAATTGACCTTTTAAAAATGTAGTCTTCAAAGGTTTAGACCTATGACTGTCCCCTGTGTGATAGTCCAAAAATGCTTCTCTCAGCGGTTCAGCTACAAGCCACATAGCACAGAATAGAATTTCAGGAAAATTACTTTTTTCCATCTCTGAAATGAGGCCTCTACCTTGCCTAGTCTCTGTCGTGGTTTCCCTTGTTCTGGGAATGACAACTCTGTTTTGCTCTCTTGTTCAGCCACCTTGGTAAAGGAATCAATTACATCTGCAAACTGAGCCTCTCCACTCAATTGTGTGGCTCTCTTTATGCAAAGCAAGCCAAGGCCAACATTTCCTGCTTCTTGGTATGGAAGCCCAGGACACTTTCTTTTGGTTCCTGGTCACCTTCTTCCACTGGAGTGGGCAGCCCTTCTCAATAAACAAGGCCTGACAGGGCTCCTGAGGGAGCAGGTACACTGTGCTCTCCCTGGCACACTCAGCCTTTGGGTAGCACAGAAGCAGTTGTGACTCAGAGAATAAAGAAGGGATTCCTTCCCAGGGGACTTGTTCTACTGACAGCAGGCCTGATTAGAAATTTACCTGTTGGCACAAAATGAAAAGAACAGATTAATCCAGTGAAGGTGTACAATCAAATAGGTCAGCCCTCTCTGAGTGAAGGTCTGATGTTGGAGTTAGCACTGCTTGCCCCAGCAGGGTCTATTATTGGATAAAATCAATTACCTGCCTGCCAGGGGACAGCACACTACAGTGGAATGAATGTGCTCTGCTTGTGTTCCAGCTCTGCCACTTTCTGGATGAGTAATCCTGAGCAATCTATGCCAGCTCACTAGGCTTCAGTTTTCCTATCAGTAGAAGAGGACTGATAAAACCAGCCTTGGAGGGTTTGAGGGGATGATTAAATGAGATCAAGCATGGAACGTGACCTGCAAAGTTCTGGGAACATAGTAGTCCCTTTTAACATATTTCCCTTCTTTGTACCTTTTCCTGGTGGAAAGCATGGAAAATGGGAAGAAATTAAGGCAAGAAGGAAAAAAAAAAAAGGAGTAATCCAGGCAGGGAGGGCTGGAAGGAAAAGTCTGAGAAAGGTTGGGATATTAAGAAACCAAAACAATGTTTGTATTTTGTGTTCTTGTAGGTGCCTTTTCTGTCTGTTCAATGTCTTTCTCTCTGTATTTTTTTTCTATTGCTGTATAACAAATTACCCCAGAGTTTAGCAACTTAAAGAAGCAGAGTTATTCTCACAGTTTCTGTGGATTGGAAATTGGTGGAGGGGCTTAATTGGGTCATCCTCAGGGTTTCTCACAAGACTGCAGCCAACGAGATGAAGAAGAAACCAATTCCAGGAACCCTCCATGGCTGCTGGAAGGATTCAATTCCTTCTGGAATATTGGATTGAGGGCCTCAGGTCTTTGCTGACTATTGGCCAGAAGAAATCCTCAGTTCCTTGTCATATGGGCCTTTCTATGGAGCAGCTTACAACATGGGAGCTGCCTTTATCACAATGTGCAAGAGAAAGAAAGAGATCACAGTCTTTCATAAAAAAAAAAGATCTCAGAAGTGATATGCCATCATGTTTCCCATATGCCTTCAGAAGTGGGTCACTATATCTAGCCCACACTCTAAGGTAAGAGATTATATGACAACCTGGATACCAAGAGGTAGTAAATGCTGGGGATAACCTTGGAAGGCTGATTGCCTCACTGTCTTTTGTTTGGGGAAAGATCATTCTTCTTCCTCAAAAAAGTCACATAAGATTCTGGTGGGACTATCCTCCATAATACCTGCCACCCCCACCCCATTCCTACACCAGGATGACATGAGACCTAGGTATGGGGAATCATCCTAGCATATCTTGTTGGCACAGTCAATGGCCACAAGGTAACCATGTAACCCAAGCTTGCAGATATACAATGAGAAAATTTATGTAGATATACTGAAACAAGAAGAAAGAAATTGTCTCTTCCACCTGAAATCACTAATATGAAATGATATAAAGTTGGGTGTCCTGTGGCCATATTTTCTACCAGCCATGTAAACAAATTCTAACTACACTAGGAACAATTGAGGCCATTACCTTCAGAAGCAGAAACAAAAAAAAAAAAAAAACAAGATTAAAGGGAAGGCACAAATAGTAACTAGCAATATATTTTCAAATTTTAAATTCCAGAGAAGCATCCTCCAAAAGCTAACAAACATATCTCCTTTGTTCACTTGAGATAGTTTAAATTAGGTTCTGTCATCTGTGGCATCAAGAATATTGATTAATTAAGCCAGTTTTTGTATCTGTAAAATCAAGGTGCTAAACTAAATGATCTCCATGCATTTTTCCA